AAACAATTCCTTTTTCTCTCCTTTAATTCACTAATTACATATGGCCAAATTACTAAAATGCCACTAAGCTTTTGATGATATCTAATACATATGATGGGGATCAGCCCAATCTTTGATATTTTCCGCCCATACACACACACAGTCTCTTTCTCTTTGGCCAACCAAAACACCACATTCATCTTCGGTAGACATTAACTATTACTCCCTTCCATTCATCCCATCCCATTTTTTAAATTGACAGGAAGGACAGCACTAGGCAAAAATATATGAAAAACCCTGCATCTTATCAAGTTTAAAACTTTTTGTCCTTTACCTTACCACTTAAAACTTGAGACCCCAAACTTGTCCACTGATGGTAAAAACCCAAAATTAACGGTCAATAGTGACGGTAGTCACGGGGCCGTTACATTTCTATCACTCCCTAGTCAGCACCACGCGTACTAAAACAACGGGAGGGTGGAAAAAGTGCTGACACGGCGTACTAGTAAAAGAATAGTTAGTGGGTGACAAAATTCTTTTCTCTTCTCCTTCCTTTCTCCTCTCTCCCCTTTTTTTGCGACTAGGAGAACCTTGGATATGAACATCAACACTAGAAACAAAATTTTGGATAGCCAAATTCAAAGAACATTGTCAACATAAAGTATGAACCCAGTTTTTTTTTTGGATAAAATATAAAATTTACTATCCATAAACTAATTGTACAGTAAGTAGCAAATTAACTACTACAAAAAATACATTCTCCCAAAACAAACTAGCAAAAATTGCACCAATCTATTCCTTCACAACATCTTCCAGTCCCCATTGCTTAGCAATATCCATAGGCAAGGGAGAAGACTGTTGTAATACCCCAAAATTTGGGGATATTTTAGCATTAAATAAGGGACTTATTTGAGGGAAAATATTATTGAGGGGCTTAATGGTCAAATTTTTAAGAGTTGAGGGACTTAAAAAGAAAGGAAATTAGGATAAGGATGGCTGAGTTTATCTTTCTGTTTCTTCTTCCTTATCCGCGCGACCTGTTCTTCTTCTTCTCCTCTGCCGACCGAAGCCCCCCAAGCCACCGACTTTCTTCCCCCTTGAAAAACCCGGTGAGATCTTGATGAATTTCTCTTCCTTTCTTGTTAAATCACAAGATTTGGGGCTTAGAATCTTCCCTCTCAACCCAGAAAATCCCGGTTCTGCTCTGCTCTTCTTCCTTGTCCGCCGGCTGCTGTGGGTTTGAATTTCTGGGCATTTTCGGGTAAGCCACAGCCAAGAAATCATCTCTTTAACCTTGATTTAGG